TCCCTCAAAATTTCAGCTGAGAGACTGGCAGGATTATTTTTTGGCCGTATATTGGTATTAGATTTTGATAGTAGGATGTCATCAGTGTTTTCATGTGACAATAGCTGATCAGTTAGTTTCTTATTGTCTCTAATTAGTTTTTGGATTTTTATATTACTTAACTTTATTTCAGCTAATTGGGATTCTATCTCTTTTGATTTATCATTTAACATTTTATTCAGTTTTACAACATTTTCATTTAAAGATTCGGACTTATTGCTTATAAAATTAAATTTGTGTTTGACAGAGAATTGTTTGCTTTTTTTACATCGGCTATTTCTTTGATTAGGGCATCACGTTGACAATGAAGCTCTTCAACACATTCTTTACTTCTCAAATCGCTTTTTAACTTTACAATTTCTTTGTTTAAATACTCAATCTCTTTCCTCATTTTTAAATTTGAATTTGACAGAGCACTATTTTCATTTTTGATGTCGGTAATTTCTTTGATCAATGCGTCATGTTGACATGTTAGTTCACATATGCGGTCACCTTTCTCCGGTTCCAATCGGAAAATTTCCTTGTCATCGTGTGAAGGTTGCTCATCCGATTTCCGTTTCACCTGTGGTATCCTGTTGTTTAAAGGAGCTTCCTCGTGACTGACGATACATGATGTGTCCGAATTTGTTGACATTTTCTTATTGAGGGTTTTCTCCCTATTCTGGTCGCCAGAGGTCGTTGAGTTATCAGGTGTTGTTGTTGCCGCTTTTCTCCTTTTTCTCTTTGCCTCATCGCCTGCTAGTGTGTTACTCTTAGCCATTTTTATCAGGGTATGTGGTGATGCTTTCTTGGTTTGCGATGTTGGCATTTCGGGTGTTACAGTTGGTGAAATATTGGGAGTACTGATAGCCAACAGTTTTTTGGACGTGGATCGTAGTAATCGATGGTCTGAATCAGTCATGAAATCGGGCTTAGTAACTGAGCCGATGGTCCGTTCCGTGTGGCAACAAGGGAACGGCTGGAATTTGATGTGGGTACCTCAACATTGGGCGACTTTATTCGTGAGCTTCGCTTTGTGCCGCGCGGTGAGTGATTAAGAGACATATCAGTGCAAGAGCGATTGAATTCTTTAGATTTTTAGAATTCCTTTGATGGAGCGCAGGCTTTGTGTGATTTGTATTTCCCAGTTTTCTGGACACACACAAGCACTGAAGTACTGACTACAACAAAAATGGGTTCACTCAAAGTTTATTTATACGTAGTTACCATGTTAAAATTGATGTTTGCATTTAACACAATGAAAATTACTATTTAATGGGAGCTGTTTACGACACGTCTTGTCGCGTCTCCCGCCGCGGAAAAAAAAGAAAAGAAAGATTTAAAAGAAAGAAATTTAAAGATTTAAATTTAAAAGAAAACCAGTGTTGTATTTGTCTTCAAAATTTCATCACCTCTTTAATAAGTCTATGAGGACTTATACAGGGTTATTCAAAAGTTACGCACCACTGACCATAACTTCAGTTCTAATTACGATATCGACTTGCAGTTTGTGGCATCCTTCCTCATATCGAGCGGGAAATTTTTTGAGGTACTTTCCAGTACTGCAGCCCCCCAGGGGGAGGGGGGCGGGGGGGCAACTCTAAAATTTCAAATGGCAACCCCCATCATGTGATACATCGTTAGAAAGAGGGTAAGTAAAGAAACATTTTGGCGCAAACCCCCTATCAAAAGTTAGGGGGGTCCGTACCTTCATTTCTTCGAGTAGGTTCGGCGGGTCTTGGACATACCACTTCTCTTTTTAAAGGGTCCTCAAAAACTCCAAGTCTGATACCGAAGTCATCATTTTGCCCCCGGGCTACAACAGCCCCCCCCCCCCCCCCCACGGGAGGATGGGCCTGTTACAATGAAAAATTTAATTAAAATGCGAAAAGTCTCAAAAGAGCTTCAAACTTAGCATCGATTCCGAGTGCAACTTTTTGCCAATGTTAACGTGGATGCAGCCTGCGAATTGAAAAAGAGTTTTCAAAACTCTTCACCCCCTGCCCCACTCATTTTTGGTTGCGGAGCGGGGAAAAACCGGGAAATTTGCCAGAAATGATGCCCGAAACCATTGTCCAACTTGACGAGGACCCTTGAAACGTTGCGACCAGTCGGAGGATTACAATACAGGGACTGCTGCCCACTTGAGGGACGAAATTATCCATAAAAACCCCGTTGCCCCCCCTCATTTTTCGTGGCCGAGCGTGAAAAATCCGGGATATTCGCCAGAACTGATGCCTGAGAGTAACGTCTGACTTGAGGAGAACCCTTGAAACGTTGTGATCAATAGGAGGACTGCAATACAGGGACTACTGTCCTTTTGAGGGATGGAATCATGCATAAAACCCCCGCTGGCCCCTGAAATTCATTAGTTATCCTCCTTAAATTAAATTTTTGCCTCTCTATAGTTACCTGAGAAGAGACAAGTATTTACACCAGTTGCTGCCTTCTTTAAAACGTACTGTCTAACTTGGATGCAGTCGTGAATTTTAAAAGATGGCTCCGTTCTTCCTTAGCCCATTTTTTCAACTCCGATAAAGAGAAATCCTAGAAGAATAAGACGGAAATGGTGCTGTAAAGTAGGTACTGTCTAACTTGACGTAGGTTTCGGGCATCATTTCTGTCAAATTTCCCGGTTTTTACCAGCTCCGCAACGAAAAATGAGGGGGCAGCGGAGGTTTTATGGATGTTTCCGTCCCTTAAGTGAGCAGCAGTCCCTGTATTGCAGTCCTCCTATTGATCGCAACGTTTCAAGGGTCCTCCTTATGTCGGACGTTACTCTCAGGTATCATTTCTGGCCAATATTCCGGATTTTTCGCGCTCGGCCACGAAACAGGAGGGGGGGCAGGGAGTTAAGAGTTTTGAAAACTCTTTTTCAATTCACAGGCTGCATCCGCGTTGTCATTTGCAAGAAGTTGCACTCCCACTCGATGCTAAGTTTGAAGCTTTGTTGTGACTTTTCGCATTTTAATGAAATTTTTCATTGTAACAGGCTCATCCTTCCGTAGGGGGGCTGTGGTGGTCCCGGAGCAAAATGAAAACTTCGGTATCAGACTTGGAGTTTTTGAGGACCCTTTAAAAAGAGAAGTGGTATGTCCAAGACCCGCCGATCCTACTCTAAGAAATGAAGGTACGGACCCCCCAAATAACCTTTGGACCCCCCCTAACTTTTGATAGGGGGTCGGATCGATTTTCGGTTTGCGCCAAAATGTTTCTTTATATACCCTCTTTCTAACAATGAATCACATGATGGGGGCTGCCGTTTGAAATTTTTTAGCTGCCCCCTGTCCCCGTCCCCCTGGGGGGCTGCAGTACTGGAAAGTAACTCAAAAAGTTTCCTGCTCGATTTGAGGAAGGACGCCACAAACCGCAAGTCGATATCGTAATTGCGCAACTTTTGAATAACCCTGTATGTAACAATAGCGGATGTCAAGTTTTCACATTGTGAGAAAATCGCGTTTGAAGTTTTCGAAGCTTTGCACTTTGCCGCCCGTAGGAACGAGAGGTTTCTTATAAAGATTTTCATAAAGATCAACTCTTCCCGTAAAAAACACACTTTTTACGATCTATGTAAGTGAATAATTGAAGGTGTAACAGCGATTTGAAACAAATGCGACATCCGCTATTTTTACTGAAAACACTTTTTTATGCAAAGTCTTCAGGAAAGGTAGGGCTGGTGAAACGATTGAACTGAACGAAAAGTATGTCAATGCTGAGTCATTTAATCGAATTGAACAAAAAACTAAACCGTCTGTAATTTCTACAGCAAAAAGAAGGATTACATTATAAAATCAGTTAAAAACTCATCAATTTTGGCGAAACAGTCCCGTTACGTATCATTTGAGTGTCAGCTGCAGCCCGTAGCCGGTGCGCGGGCAGTTATCGCAAGTACGTGAGACTTTCCGCGGTGTCCTTCCGCGCCGCCCGGGGAGAACACTGAGAACAGTGGATTCTCATATCGGCTGTTTTTACAAATAACAAGGTTTTCAGTTCAAATCTCGCCGTAAAATTACGCTGGAAGTCTGAAACTTTGCACAGGCATTCTTGAGGGTTCCAGAATTCGAAAAAAGCGTTTGCCCTAAAAATGGCGGATGTCAGCGACCGCTTTTCTTACATATAAGTCTTCGTCTATAAGTTGTACTTTGGTCGAAAATTGATTGATTGAAAGCGCTGGAAACGGAAAAAACAGCTGAATTTGTTTTTAAATATTGACTGCATGCTTTTGAATGATTCGTCTCACAATGAGGTCATGAAGGATGAAAAGGTGAAATGGATGGGTACACTCATGTAAAATTTAGTATCCTTTTCAGTGGTGTCGTTGTTTTTATCCTTAAATTAATTATTTTGACCTTAAATTGGTCAAGAATGTGAAAAATCGTGAATTTTCAGCAGATTTTACCGGTTAGTATTTTTAAATAGTAAAATTTTGGAAGAACAAATGTAATAAAAGCATAAGTTTTGGTTATGTCTATTAATCAAAATTGTATGATCTTTCAAATTGATTACTTGCAATTTTTTTGTTTGACGCATTTCTTGAGTCATAAAGGAAAATCCGTATGTACGTCCTCTTCGAAAATCGCCGTAAGCCGCCATTTTTAAAAACTGCGACTTGACCACTTTCCCGATGGAATTTTTTGGTAAACTTTTTTTCTGTCTTATTGAGCACTTAGAGACCCTATATACCATAGGAAAAGTTTGTGCTAATTTGTCCGAGGTAAAAGGTTAGTTTGCCTGGACTACTTGGACTTATGTTTGACATTATGCTTTGGACCTATGATGGTTAAGTTTAAATTCCAAGAGATACTTGGGTATTATTTATTGATTCAGAACTGAGTATTGGATTTAATTTGTTTTACCCCATGCTGAAAATATGTCATGCTTGCTGAATCATGATTAATCAAAACAATGTGTAAGCCAACTTGTAACTGACTGTAAAAATAAATTTTATAACGGTTAAACTTACTTTATATTTGTTGTCTCAGGCGCATCAAGGCTAAAATTTTAGGATACCCATCTTATTTCCATCAAATGCTTGACACCAAAATCGCTGGAAGCTTAGAGAATGTAGAGGATACACTTGCATATCTGTTAGATAAAGGTAAGTAACACTTAAAAGAGACTTTCAGCTACATTACTTTCATCATATCTAACATTGTTTAATATTAGGGAGAAGAAATAAATAAAATAAAAATGTAAATACAAATGAAAAGAAAGAAAAAATGGACCCGCTCGAAACTGATTAATTGCAAAAAAAGAAAAGTAATCCCTATTACAAGCTCTCCTGCTTTTAAAATGTTCATTTTTTTCCGCCTCCGTAATCACAGCTAGAGACCTGCAAGTCTGATTTTCATGATTTTTTGTTTAAGGACACTTTAAGCCACAGAAGCCAGTTTCCGGAATTCTGTACAGTTATACCACCCACTTAAAAACAATGGTCAATCTCCTATAGTTTAAAAATTTTGATAAATTTAAATTTGGCAATGTTGGTGCGAAAACGGCCCTAAACTTTTAGGATACACTGGTAAAGGCGCAAAAAGGATACTATGTTCTGATAGAAGAGATTGATTCCTTCAAATTTTCAAATTACGACCCAAATTTTCTATTGCTGCAAGGCAGCCCTCTGCAAATGCACAGAGTCCATCAAGGGTTGGCTGCGCAGCTGTTGGGAGAAAATTACAGATTGCACATAGCTACAAAATACGTTGCTTGTTGCTGTAAAATATGCTCATTGGAGGTACTTTCATCAACCATAAATCTGGTAACAATTTTAGGCTCAGAATATTATTTTAACACTTATTATATTAAACTGTTCAGTAACCCCTGGTAGAAGTGATTTGTTAGCTCCAAGAATATTTAAACCTGAAGCTCATTTCAAGTAAGTTTTTCTGCAAAATTAAATTTACTCTTCATTCCATACTGTATGCAGATCTTACAGCAATGGTGAATGCCAAACCAATAACAAAGTGTATTTTTATTTCATTGTAGAGTCATTTGGAAATCAGTTTGATTCTCTTGATTAATCCCTGTCGCAAACTTTTGCTAGAACAAAAATAAGAGTTGTCCCTTGTAGATTATGTCTGAAAAATCACGATGAGCGCATTGGCAAACTCTGAAATGCACTCCTAATTTCACAATCCGCTTAAGAAATCTGGGTTTTTTTATGCTTCCCGCTGCAAAAAGGATACTACATACGCGCAGGTGATCATTTCGTTAAAGGAGTCATTCCACTCAATCCCTGCTCAACTTGGCCGACGCTTCCGCACGCAAGTTGAGGAAAGCACGATGTCAATCAAGGCGGATACCTGTCAACACGAGAAAAATGTGAATGTAAGCACACCGATTGTTATCAGGTGGTTAGAGTCATCACACATGTCACAGTCACATGTGTTTTGGCGGATTGGCGTCGGCTATGTTGAATATTGCGTGGTATCCTTGAGAGCAGGGGTTGGATGGAATGACTTCTCTGACGGAATGTTCACCTGTGTCGTGGTGTCGTTTTTTATACAGGAAGCTCGGAAAAACGCAAATTTCTTTTGCAAATGGTGAAGTAAGGAGTGAATTTCAGACTTTGCGGGTACGCTCATTGTGATTTTTGAGACACTTTTTATAATTAACAACTCTTATTTTTACTCTAGCATAAGTTTACAACAGGCCCATTGTTTTCCACCTCACCTGATCTCTTTAATTCCTTATAATACTGTTACTTTTTCAGCGCGGTCTCAACAAGATACGGAAATCGATGATCTTCAATCATTTATAAATGCCAGCGGTGAAACACACCCAATCCAACTATTTGATCTGCCCTACTGGGCTAGGATACACAAGAAAGCTGTTTTAAAGTGAGCCTGTTATTTTCTTCCATTCACTTTTTTTTATCTTTTCCTTTTATTTTCGTAAGTAATTCAGCACCGTGAGGTTTACTCATATCGATGGTGAAACTGCAGAAAGGCATATCTTGGTTTGCAGTGTTGCAGACTTCCTGTCATACTTAATTTTCTACATGGAGAACTACTGAATGTCATTTTTTGAAAATTTCAATGATTATTTTCTCTGTATGTAGAATATTCTGTGAAAACTTCAAGCTGTGATGCTGGTTTGGTCTTTTTTTAAAAAATAAAATAGGAGCGGAAATTTCAAAACCCCGCAATAGAGATGTGCATTTTTGCAGTTTCACTTTCCAAATCTATCTGGTATTCATTGCATGCCCTTAGATAATCCAAAAAAAGGCACAAATGAAGATAAAATGTTCTTATAGAAACCCCCTAACCACTCATCAAATAATCAGCGTTTTTAATGGTGAAATTATCATAAAACTAGAATCTTTAAGCTCTCTACAGCATCTTCAATTAGATTGACTATAAACTACTTTAGAAACGAAATAACGGTATTGAAGTGTAAGACTTAGTATCAAAGTAAACGAATTTACCTGTGGGATGGGACATGTAGCGAGGAAATGTGAGAATTCGCACAATCCCGATTATCAAAAAGACCTGCCTTCTGGAAAGGATCGAGTCTCAACAGATCAAGCCTCAAATCCAAGGGTGCCAGATATGCTCGCCGGGACAACTGGGTTTGGGTGCCAACGCACTCAAGGTACATTATCAAAGTAAATAATATTCTTGGAGTGAGGACAGGGTTGATGGAAAGAAATAATGAGCACATTTGAACCTACTTCAGTAAAATTGTATTGACAAGAAATAAAAAATTATTTTAAACAAGTACAAACTTTGTTTTTCATAGAAACATAAAAAAAGAGATAAAAAGAGGAATTACTTGATTGTGAATGAGTTTTTTCGGATTGATACACCAAAAAGACATTTTATGGGATAAATAATTGAAAAAAAAATTAACAGATCAATGAGAAATTTTACCCTAATACCTGGTTCAAAATTTATTTGACAGGGTTGCCACAGTCAGGGAAAACCGGGAAATTTCAGAGAAAAATCGTTAAATAACCATTCTTCAAAACTTCAACCAGTGTTGCGTGTTCAGGTTTGGAAGGGGCGATTTAGCGGACGAATTTACGCGTTGCCCTGCTCCCCTCACTCCTTCCCTTCCCTTCCCTTCCCTTCCGTAACGGATCCAAGAAGGGAGGGCCATGGTGGCATGACCCCCCCCCCTCGGGTCAAAAAAGAAAAGGAAAAAATGAGGAAGGGGGGAGAGGGGGAGGAAAAAAGTACTCCTTAAAATTTACTGAAATGTTTTCAAGAGGGAACTATCTAACCTAAGTTTACTAAACCAAAGGTTGTTCAACAATGCAGTAATAAATACATAGTCCACATACTAAAATAAAATTCGCCGAAAGGGGTATTACTCGTCAATTTTTAACTTTCAAATAATGCACAAATTTTATGCTAAAACTGCTGAAAAATCCATCTGGGAGGGCCTATTTTCTTAAAAATTGACCAGGGAAGGCCCCTCCAGGGTGCGTAAAAAAAAAATGAAAATCTGGAATGTTCCACTCCCCAGGCGGCAATCGGTGACACTTGGTAAAAAAAAAAGGTGCTTGCCAAAATTTGGGCCGATTTCAACCATTTTAAATGAGGCCAAAGGTCAATTTTGTGATGAAAGTATGATAGTTAGGTTTAGACCTCGATTTTGTACAAAAAACTCGATTTTACGCTGAAATCGTGTTTACGAGAAAAATACCAAAGAACTCAAGTTGTGTAGGATGAAATTTTAAATAATGTGTTTTGTTATAAAAACGAAGCTTCATTCGCATGGTTCTATTCGAACGCACATGAATGAAAATGCGGGAGTTAACCGTTGAATTGAAATCCAGTGCATTAAAGAGAATTTAGTCTCTCCGCGATGCTGTAAAATTGCATTCATAACAGTCGTGAAACCAACACATCTCACCGAGAAAGCAAGACAAATAATTACCGAAGTTGATTTTATACTATGGTATGAGGCATCTATAATACCTTTGATTGCCCCGTGACACTGCGGCGCCAAGCGCTTCCGGGAGTTGAGCTGCGGAGCGGCGCGGCCAGGGGACGCAGCCCCTTCGTAAAATATAAAATAAATTTGTCTCACATCAGAGTCTTTTCAATAGAACCCGGGAAAATTACATCTGGCCTCCATAAAAATCGGAAAACTGACACTAGTGAAAATTTAAGAAGAGTGAGTCGTCATGCACACTATTCATTCGTGGTTGCTCTGATAGAGTACTGCAGCGGTGCGTGGCCAGACCAGACGGCGACTCGGTACTCCGCCACCGTGTCTGCAGAACGCGCTAGTGTCGTAGCCTTTCGCTACGTAGTGGCAATCAATGATAATAAAAATTTAATACATTGCTTAAGGTGAATCTACAGCGGTGTATAGTAAGACATCTTTCCGGGTAGGGGGCGCCACCGCTGTGTTTTGATTTTTTGGTCCACGCTATTAGAGTCCGTACAGCCCCACGTGAGTCCTTGAGCTTTTATGAAAGTTAAAGGAATTTCTGTTTAAATCGAAGAGTCATAAGTTCTAGCTATAACACTCTTCTTCCTATTGACCTTAAAAAAGACGTGAAAAGTCATCTCTGAAGCTCTGGAACTTGATCCCAGAAAAAAGTAGGGTTAAGCATGATGACCTTGATGCAACCAATCGCTATTGATCGCTCTCAGCAGTTGCAGATATCTCTCTCCCACCGTGAGCTATCTCTCTCGCACTTACAGATATCCCATAAGAGAAACTGGGATCAAGTTATAACTTTTATCATTAGACTTTCAAAGCTTGCGTTTGTTTCTAAGCATTCCAGACGTATGCTGCTAGAACTTATGAGTCTTAGAATTTCATATATCTAACGTGATATCTAAATAATCACTGATTTCGGAATCGGATTTTAGCAGCGCGACATGGTGGATTTTTTCGGAACTACACCTGAAGATTCACCTCAATTTCTGAAGTCATCGTAATTTGATTTGTGTTTGTAGGTTCAGTCAAATTCTAGCCAGAATAGATTGAATTTTGTGAGAGGGTAAATCTAACTAAACTTGAAGTGACCTGAAAAGGTGGGGGGTGGGGGATAGGTGGGTGAATTCAAATAAGGGTCAAATTCCAGGTTCAATTTCCTCCCAAAATTGTTTTGTGAATTTTTGGGCAAACCAAACTTTATTTTAACTCTCATTAGGTGTAGACTTAGGAAATATAGCTCATCGAGCTTAATAGTTATGCTTAAACCCGAATTTCCACCGTCACGTGTATCACTTCCCAAAATTTGCTCTAATTTTGCCTGATTTCCCAAATTTTCATCTCAGAGGTGACATATAATACTTTTAATTGAAAATTGAACGCAATTGTCATAAAAGCATCGTCGAGCACTAAATTAAAGCATAATTGAAAACATGTAGCCCTTTCATATCTTACAGAACCAAAAAAATTCATCCGTCATGAAAGATATCTGGAGCTTATTCTGCTTATCTTTTAGACAGTTCCATCTGTTTATCAAAATGCCTACTGTTTTCCTTTAACACGAGAAAAAGCTTTTATTTCTTGGAATATTGCAGTACAAAATTGATCAAAAACATCGAATTCTAAAACTTCAAGTGGGCGTGTACCCGCTGAAGTGGAGGTAAAGCCAGGAAAAGTTTGAGGAATTGCATTACACTGGTCAACGTTTTTTGTTTTTTTTTTTTGATTTTCCGAAGATTTACCAACGGCTTCGGAGTAGATTTTTGGCGCTGATTCCGAAGATCACCTCCATTTACCTGTATCAGTGCGACTTATCCCGGGAAAGTTCGGAATTTTTCCGGAGAAATCGGAATTTTCCTTAAAAATCTAGCTTTTCCAGCAGAGTCAATCTTCCGGCAGAATCTGTGCACGATGGAAAAAACCTAGGAATTTTTCGATTTCGTAGCCTAAGATACATAAAAAACCATGTATTGCACCCCTATTAAAATTTCCCTTCTTTTCCTAATGCCAAGGTTTTCCCGTCCAGTCTCATTAAAATCAATTAATTAGTTACCGAGATAGTGTTTAAAGCCACGGCCACCACCTTAGATTTTTGAATCTTGGAAATTTGACTAAAATTCGAGTTCCTCATTCAAAAATACCCGCGGGTACCAATTTTCGCGTAAATCGATTGATAAGGCGCCGAGATAGCATTTTAGGTCATGTCCGCCATCTTGGATTTTCGAATTTCGAAAATTCGACTGAAAATTCAAGTTTCCCATTGAAAAATACCCCCGTATACCAAGTTTCACTTAAATCGGTCGAAAAGAGCGCCTACAGGGCTTAAACAAACAAGCCTCTGTTGATTAGGCGCTGAGATAGCATTTTAGGTCATGTCCGCCATCTTGGATTTTCGAATTTCGAAAATTCGACTAAAAATTCGAGTTCCCCATTAAAAAATACCTCTGGGTACCAAGTTTCACTTGAATCGGTAGGAAAGAGCGCCTACAGGGCTTAAATAGGCAAGACTCGGTTGTAACAGTTTTCCACTCTGTCCCACTAAACTGGGACATGGGACAGGATGGAAACATATGGGACAGGATGGAACGGGACAAGATGGAACGGGACAAGATGGAATAAGCTGTTTTTTAAGCCTATCTCTAACAGTAAAGACAATTTTGGTGTTTTTTTTCACGGAATATTTAGTAGCACATCCTAGAGGATCGGAATTACAGAAAATTTTCCCTAACGCACACTTCGAAAGTATTTTACGAGCTGATATTAGTGTGTGTGTGTGTATGCTTGACGCCCTGTTAGTTATCGTGTATAGCATTCTGTTTGGCATCGTTAATGGCGTTAATCTTGCACAAAAATTTGCGAATTTCAGAATTTTTGCCATCTACGATGTGTGAACTATTCAATCAAAACAAAAAAAGTCGTTTTTGGAAAAACCTCAACGTTATGGCAATCATTTAGAGCTTATTACAGCGTTGCCATGTCTCTCCTGACTGTTGCTGACTGTTGCTCGGGACAATGATTCTAGCGCGTGAAAAAGTTATTGATGGAGCAATAAATAAATTGACATATTTTTTTTTTATCAAATTCAAAAGCATTACCTATCATCTCCCATAAAGTTTTCTCAAATAATCACTCTAGTTATGTTGCAACATCGATTTAAAGTCAAGAACCAGGCACGGGGGACACGCAAATTTGGGACAAATGTAGGCAATTTGCACATTCAAAGTTCTCCTAAATTTTTATTTCAGTCCGAATAAAGTGGGAAATAGCATGTAATAGTCAACAATAGTGTGGAAAATGAGAAAAAAAATTGATCTGCCCATGTTTCTCAGATTATGACGATTAAAACAGCTGGGGACACCAGATTAGACGCTTATTTGAACTCACCCAGGTGGGTCAGTGTTTTGGTATGAAAATCTCTCTTTTTTAATGAAACAATTAATTAGAATTCAGAATAATTACTCATGAAATGTGATTTTTTTTTCTACTTCCTTTTTTTCTCAGTTTTGATGACTATGATCAAAGGGTATTCTTTCCTTTGCCGACTGTTTTCCAAGGACTACTAGACCTATGTAGCAAATTGTTCCACATATCGTTTAAGGAAGTGAAAGATGGGATCAGTACATGGCATCCCGATGTCAAATTTTACCATGTCTACCGCAATGAAGAAACTAAGCCGTGTGGAGCATTTTACACGGATCTAGTCAGAAGGTACTTTTATCAATGTGAAATTTTCCATGTCAAAACATCTATCTTGAAATCCTTTGAAATCATTTAAAATTGCCTTCCGTCAATGAAAGTTTTGTGACGTTTTTATTCAGTTTGGTACCTGAATAGCAAACTGACTCTCCAACGAATACAGTCTCTATAAGTATCCTCCAAAAGAAGATTGAACAGCAGGGTGGAGCGTTTTTGGACTTTTTTTTTTGCGAATGGAGTGTGCGCAAAAGCTGCTAATAGGTGAGTGAATGAAGCACAAATTTTTGGAAATTTTTCCGACGTCATCTTCTGTGCCGGGAATGCAAAAAACCGCCAAAATACCCCATAATCACGATTTTTGACTGTTTTTTCACCTTCAAAGTGGCAACAATGTCATTTTTCGGCGCAAAGTGATATGGAAGACCGATTTTGTGAAAAACTCACCCCTCACCCTCTTTAAAAATATTCTTACGTATTTCCTCCCCTTGATCGGCAAAACCGTCCAAAATACCTTCAAATCCCGTTTTATTTTCAGTGTAGTTTGGCAACCTAGCCTAACCTTGACATTTCTAAAGTATAAAAATGGACTTTAACATGTTGAATTGATATTTATCAGTAATTTGGATAAAAAATAATACATTTAAATAAATGGAGGTTGGAGAAAACAGTTACCCTCATTAACACAATGCAAATAAAGAATCAAATGAATTAACCTATTACTTATATTGATGGTCTAGCTTCAGTCAAATCCTTGAATTCTTTAGAGGATTTTTAAGCTGCTGTAGGATGTAATTTTCGAGTGTGTAGTTTAGCTCGAATAAATTCATCGCGAGTTTCATTCCCACAAACCATTGATTAGGGTGTTCCGTTTTTAGACAACCATCTCAAAACCTTGCTCCCCGGGCTTTTTCCCATTCCTTTTGGTCCCCAAAAGACAAATATGAAGTTTCAGCACCATAGCTGAAGTCTACACTTTCCCCCAAAGCGATGAAAATTTTGGGAGCAATTACATTGGTTTAAATGGGGAGAAAATAGGCCGATTCGCGGAATTACGTTTTTCGGTCGTAAAATGCGCCGAAATGATTTCAAACCTGGCCATCTCTTGAAAAGTCGTCCAGGGGCCTATTTTGAATGAGGAAATTCCACTTTTGACCCAGAGATGGGGGGAGGGGGGGTCACGGCGAAGTTAGTTTAGAGGCGCTGCGCGCAGCAAAATGATAGCATTTTACAGTTTTTGATCAACCTCAAAACAGGCCCTCCGAGGCTGAGGAGGCTAATATATCTCATAAATTGTAATAAAATGATGTACAAGAGTTGTTTTCATCCTTCCAGAACTATTTTCGACCATTTACACAGTTGCCAAAATTTACTCGAAACTGGAAGGAAATTAGTGTATATCATGTTCTGCACTTGAGTGATTTTGGCAACAGTGTAAATGGTCGAAAATAGTTCTGAAGGGATGAAAACAACTCTGGTACATTATTTTATTACAATTTATGAGATATACTAGCCTCCTCAGCTTCGGAGAGCCTGTTTTGAGGTTGATCAAAAACTGTAAAATGCTATCATTTTGCTGCGCGCAGCGCCTCTAAACTAACTGCGCCGTGACCCCCCCTCCCCCCATCTCTGGGTCAAAAGTGGAATTTCCTCATTCAAAATAGGCCCCTGGACGACTTTTCAAGAGATGGCCAGGTTTGAAATCATTTCGGCGCATTTTACGACCGAAAAACGTAATTCCGCGAATCGGCCTATTTTCTCCCCATTTAAACCAATGTAATTGCTCCCAAAATTTTCATCGCTTTGGGGGAAAGTGTAGACTTCAGCTATGGTGCTGAAACTTCATATTTGTCTTTTGGGGACCAAAAGGAATGGGAAAAAGCCCGGGGAGCAAGGTTTGGAGATGGTTGTCTAAAAACGGAACACCCTACCATTGATGCAGCTTTGGTTACCAGCTTCACAGCCCTCGATACCACCTGTGTGTGGCAAGGAAAGTGGTCCATCCTTTTTTCTTTTGCAGTGATGAGTTGCTTCAAATCGGCGTCTCTCAAATGTTCATAAATTGGTAGAGAAGTTGCTTGAATTGATTCCGAGTTCCGTTTGATCATTTTGTGGTATTTTGTCACTTTAAAATTCAGTTTCGGCACTTTAAATTGTCGCACTTTTGATTCCGACACGAATTTCCGAGCTTATGATTCTTCGAGCTGCCAATTTGCGGACCGCGGCACCATCATCGCTCACCATTGCAACAAATATATTTTCAGGGTGTGCGAAATAACTGTTTCTTTGGATCTCAGGATCAATAATTTGTTTAAGTTCATCACTTTAATACCGAGAACGCCGTATAAAAAAAAAATACATGCATAGCTCCGTCTTTTATCATTGGGTTGCACTAAATTTCAAACCACATAGGCGTGTAAACTTTGACAATAAAGTCCGTCAGCTCTTTTAATTCAAATGATGGGTCACTTGTCGCGACGTATAATCTAGCGACACGATTTGCTGGTGTGAGCCATTGGGCTCTTGACATCTTGCCTGGGTATTTATTTGCTAAATCCCGGCAACACTGGCTGGAAACAATTGCTTTAACAATCATAAAAAGATATTGGTGATCCGAGCTTAATTCTACTATTACACTGTTTAAAACTGAAATATCCGCGAGAATAAGTTCAAAATTTGCGACAGGCAATTTTTCACAATTTGGTAATGCTTTACCAATCGGTCCGGTGTAGCTTCCTGGTCCCATTGATTTACCATCAAGATGCTCAAACAAATGAAAGGCAGCTCGTTATTGTGTAGCAGACACACTAACCATTGCAGTGGTTTATCCAGGTGTTTCTCCAGACATCTAATTACTCCACCAATCACGCCAGTATTTACGTTCGTACCATCACAACCTATTGCTTGAACAAATTCAAGATCGATGGCATTTTTGGAGCAAAATTCTATGATGGACTTGCAAATTCCAAGCGATGTACCAGAGATGGGATCCACGTGCCCTAGATATTCGCTCCCAGGTTCTTCCAGCAATACTACGAGTCCTCGGTGACAGTCTTGTGGTAGTGTTTTGTCCCCTTCTGCTCCATGACACAAGTAAGATCCTTACGGCCATCGAAATAAAGCCCTCTGCTAACTTTTCCGGGTCTCAATTCTTGCTTTCTTAAATCCGTCCTCTGCTTTTGTCGCTTTTGTCGCATCATGTTACGGTTCAAGGTAAAATCTATGTCAGGGCGTCCGATATCTTTCAGCAGGGTTGTTGCAAGTTCTGCAGCTTTTCGGTCCGAAATTCCGGCTTGTCACAAACCAAAGCAAAGTGATGGAGATTAATTTTTTCGTGTTTTTTCCCCACGACGCTATCAGGTTCATATTCAGATTCCGTTTTGATTTGAGATTCAGAAGGCGTTGAAGTGGACTCTGTTGCCTGTTGAATTTCTGGCGGTTGTGGATCAGGCAGATTGGATGGATTGGGTGACTCGGATCCTCCAGGTTGCTAATCTTCTCTTCTTCGTTTCCTTTGCTCTCGAAGAATATTCTGATCGGTTACAATTATGTCAATTTCACCGATTTTCAACTTTCTGGGGCCTTTTTGGTCGAGAATAAATTCGCGTTCTCGTATTGGAATTTTTTTAAATTTTTCACGATGACCTTTACTGAAGTCTTTACACTGGCATGCAGCAATATTGAAGAGACCTTTACCGTTTTCGACAAGCAGGTCTTTTAACGATTGAGAAGTATTGATGTATTTACTGTCCCGCACTGAACCTTTCTTAGGTGCACTTTTGAAAACATTATTATACTTATCGTAGTATTGTTGTAATAAATAAATTATTCTGCGATCAGAAATTGCCGGTATTGAGGCTTCATTCCAAATGAATTTCAAGTCCTCTTTCACTCGGAGGGATTCGTCTGTAAATAAGGGCGCCTTTTTAGTTGTTTTAAGTTTTGAACGGTGCCAGAGATAACACAGTATAACTTCATTATAGGTAGGTAGTTGGCTGTTTGGGGACTCGCAAGGATCGCCGAAAATTGGGCAATTTTCCATATTAACACCCCGCATTTCCAATGTTTTATGGGAAAACATTTTGGAGAAAGTAAAGTCAAACGTTATTGAATCAGAGTTTAGTTAAACACATTATAGTTTATAACATTTTAGAACAAAGTTTATAACATTTGCCAAATCACTTGAACAAAACGAGAATAAAAATGCGGCAGGAAGAACGTCTCAAAACGGCACTCAAATACTGTCAATGCGCACTGTAACCAACCGAAGCAAATACTAGCAGGACACTAATCTTTTTCTTAATTGCATCTCACTTAGTTGCTAAGTGTAGCACACTGTATGTGACATCCCCTCGAAGTTGGAACCTTCCCACCCTTTCCCGGCTAATTTTGCGAGAAGCGGGCAACCGAGTCGGCCGCGGCCGACCGGCATGCCAACCGCTCGTTGTTGCCAGAGCAAGTCTTATTACCTTTATTTCAATGAGAAATGAAAAGGTTCAGAGCTCTTTATCGTCAATTTCTTATTTTGCACAATATTTAACCTGAAATTTTTTTACAGTAATGCTAATATGTGTCGCAGTTGCCAAATTCAGCTAAAGAGCTTAAAAAATGGGATTTTAAGGTATTGTGGGCAGTTTTGCCGATCATCAAGGGGAGAAAAAACGTAAGAATAATATTTTTTAAAAGCGTGAGTGGTGAATTTTTCACAAAAATTGTCTTCAGTATCACTTTGCGCCGACAAATGACATTATTGCCACTTAGAAGGTGAAATAACAGTAAAAAATCGTGATTTGGGGTATTTTGGCGGTTTTTTGCATTCCGGGCACAGAAGATGACGTCGGAAAAATTTCAACAAATTTGTGCTTCATTTTCTCACCTATTAGCAGCTTTTGCGCATCCTCCATTAGCAAAAAAAAAAAGTCCAAAAACGCTCCACCCTATGAACATTATGAAAGCCCCAAGTTTTTCTCTCTCTATTCCTAAGTATGTTAAGTGTGTGTTGTTCTCATAATACTTCCAAAGTTGCCTTTTGGAGCAGAATAACTTTATGTTTTATCAAGTATTGTCAAAATCCTGAACATTCACTTTACATCGTTTTGAGAGGGTAACTCTTGTAGAGGTAGTGGGTTGATTCTTTTAAGTTCTTCTAATAATTTCTATCTCTTGCAATTTTTTAGCTTTTCATAGAATTCCATAGTAACAATAAACGGGTTGTTAGGAACACAAAAATCTGGAAGTCAGGAGAAGACAAACCCATGGGAAAAAACAGGAATTTTGGTGCTGGTCAGGGATTTTTTGTTTTTACGGCACCTAAGTATATCCAGATCCGCATCATATGGGGCACTCCTAAGCTTAGGTTATAGGACCAGCTGAGGTCGACTACCATGTCCAATTGCGGAGAAAAGTGATCCTTTTGCTGGGTCTTCCTGGAAACTGCTGGCGCCCTCTCTAACCCATGCATGCGAGACTATATCAGTCTCATATATGAAGGTTAGGGAAAAGTCAGAGAATGGAAAAAAATAATTTGGCCAACAACTTTGTAACGAAATGAATTTTAAATTCAATCCCATGTAAATATTTTCTCAGTATCATCCCTGTATCTTTTAAGACATAGTCTATCCTCAAGAAATACAAAAGCAATCGAATCATTGAGTTTGAGAAGGAGCCATCCAGTTCTCCTACCACACTCTAATTACTTTCCTTTCCTTTGCTGAATTAAATTTTCCAATTGTTTTCTCTCTCTAGAAATTCAATCTTGATAATGCAAAGATTATTGTGCAGTTGAATAAAGAAAAAAAAAAATTATTTGTCGAATGAAGAGAGTGGAAGAAAAAGTCCAAGTAAAAGTTAATAGGTGCTTTTAACACCCGCTGATTTAATTGAAGAAGCTTCTTATAGCATTTGCTTGATGCTGACAATTTCTAACATCTACTTTTTTCTTTTTTCAATTTTTCAGGGATGGAAAATACTTCTTAGGTTCCGATTATGGTTGGACCGTAGGGATCCGGGAACATTCACTTGTCCCAAAGAAAACTTTACCCATCTCAGCCTTAGTGTTCAATTTTACTCCTGGAGAAGGAAAGGACCCACCTTTATTGCCTTTCTCAGCTGTACAGCAACTTTTTGCAAAGGTACGATCATAATACAGTCGGACCCGCTTAATTGGGACACATCCGTCCCGGGCTGTTTTGTCCCGATTAAGCAGGTGTCCCGATAAAACGAAGTATATAAACGAAGTATTGGTAGTATATAAGAGATTCTGTCCCGAGCGATTTTGTCCCAATAAAGCGGTTGTCCCGATTAACCAGTGTCCCAATTAAAGGGGGCCGACTGGATCACGAAGAATTGATAACAAAAACCATTTTCCCTTTGAAGTTTTGATTTTTGGAGTCTTTTGTTCCTCCATTGATTAATTCATCATCCATAACATCATAATTTCAGCTCTTAATGCAGTTGTTTTACACTTGGTACTTTCTGGGATTACTATACTCCCAGGCAACAATTTTCAACACGGCTGACGCTTCGGCCGGCCGATAAAATCCCATTTTCTCATTTCCAATTTGGTCGACCATCTTGAATATCTAGCATCTAGCATCCTAGTGTGCAAGGGTTGGATGAAACAACTTTTTTTACCTAATTTTCGCCTGTGCTGTAGTATTGTTCTTCAAGCGGGGAGCTTAAAAAACAGCATATTTCTTATACAGATTGGTATGTTGGGAGTGTATTTTAGACTTTAACGACGCGCTTAGCATGATTTTTGAGTATTCTCTATTAGAAATAACTCCTCTTTTTGCTTTAGCTGAAGTTTTCAACAGGCTCATTGTGCAACCAGTTGATCTTCAGGACACAAAGGAGTTTCTACCTTCATGGCTACGTCACACATTGGGACGAGCCCATTACAGAAACGGGACATTCACGGTAAAAATGAAAATCATTAAAAGCAAAAACCAAAGGTGTAGAAGTTACCTGGAGGGTCTAAACTTCCAGAATAACGAAGATTTTAACAATTTAATTGAGGAATATTCAAATGACAGGCGTAGAGAAACGCGTGTTTCGGAAAGATGAAAAAAAGAGGTAAAAGCGCACGTATACAAATGTTGCTCCTCTAGCTTCCGAGATGATTTTAAATGCAATTTTTTGTTATAACAATTGAATACAAACATAGACTATTCGTTTACGTCATTGGTGATAATTACTTTTAACTTCCTGGGGGTCAGAGAGTGAATTCAAAATCGACAAGTCAAAAAACTAAAATTCAAACTTCAATTAGAGTTTTAAAAAAATGTCCAGACTTGTCCAAGAAACGGTTTGCATATCGAGATTCTACGTATCCTTAGCTTTCAGAATCATATTAGTTTTCATCCGACTTCTTCCGACTTTGGAAGTTACAAGGGAAAACATGAGCGCGGTTCGCTTAAAATCGAGCGCTTTCTCAGGCCAATTGACGGTTGAGGTTGAGCGCAACGGGCTGCGTTGCTGGTCGCCGAGCCGCCGCGCCGCGCCGCCGCGTTGCTTATCAGCTTGCTGCAATGCTTATCTGATATCTAGGATACTGATTGCTGTCGTCTTTTTTTGTAGAGCAATTTTTTATTTTGAATATGTAAAGAATCGAATGATGTCGTGATGGAAACGGTCCTTAGAATCGAGGCTGAGATTGAAAATATAATTTCAACCAATGTAGCGACAGTTTGACAGTATCCCATGATTTGTATTCCAGTATATTCGATGAAAAAATTTGCAATATATTGAGTGGCAATAAATCCTCATTCTTATGAACGATATCTCAGAAGTGCAGAAAAGACCCCTAAGAAACTCGGAGTTTCTAAAGTATGGAATTTTGCCTTGACATCTTAAGATTTAGAGCTTTTGAGTGTCTGTTGCATATTCCGTATAATCAGGATTTTAGAAAATGGCGCTCAAAGGGAAGAAGAAAAGTCCTTGAAAAAAAACGGGAAAAAAGCATCTGTGTCAAAGAATGATAATATTTGGGAGCAACCTATTCGATTATGATTTTCGGATTCACTTTAATGTCTGCCCATTGATGAACTCATTCCCCCATAGTCAAATATCGATGCGGTTTTTGCGATAGGTAAGAAGAGGGGGGGTGTTGTTTCTTAATAAAAGCATTTCTTAATTTCAGGATAAGTGAATTCATTTTCTTTTTCAATGAAAAAAAGCAAAAGATACGCGCGTTAAATCTCTACCATAATCATGCTAATCTGTTTATCAAGTAGATTTAAACAGAGACTTGGCAACATCACTTTTTGGCGGGATTGTCACCATGAACCAAATACTGAACATAATATTGGATTCCTTTTCCCAAAAAGACCGAAAATGTCAAGTTTTGAGAAGATCGGCGAAAAATTATCGTCTGATGGGCGAATGTCCCGTTTTGACACCTTTTCGTCCCACTGTGCGTCACTCGTGTCGCGATTCATGCGTTTTTCGAATTTTTGAATTTTGTCACTTGAAGGTTCAGATAACTTCCTCTGAGTCAAACTGCACAGAGACCACACTGTTAGTTCCACTCGGACACAAATTACACCCAGAGGGCTTTTTCTTTGTATGAAAAATTCGACGGGACCTCAAATTTCAAAGTATGACATAAAGAAAAATTCCATTTAAAGAACAATTGACCTATAGGAAGTTAACTGCATTAAGAAAGTTTTGAATTTTTTTGATAAGGAGGTACTGAATCCTTTGGGAAAGATCCGAAAAAGTAGCGCTAAAGTACTGATTTTTTGCCAGTCAGTCTTCGTAGACACCCTGACTGCCAATCTTTTTCATCAGAAGTATCGTGGAATGCACTTGGTGCGGATATTTTCACTTGCCTTCATAATGCAGTGGGGAATTTAAAATATCATTAAGTCAAATTAATTGACTCATTTGCATTTAATTTTTCAATTGGATTACGATTAAAAAAATTAATTGCAATCACCGTTAATTAATCACGCAGCTCTACAATTTTTTTTTCCTTTAATAGGAAGCTATTTTCTATTTTACAGTTTGGCCATGTTCTACAAAATGCACTTTGTGAGGCAGCTTATTCAGATGTGTCAGGGCTGTCATACGTCGAGTTTGAAGCTGTCGAAGCTGTTCCACATTTCTTAGCTAATTGGTTTGTAATTCAGATTTGTTTATCTACATCTTTTTTATCGAAATTTGTGAATTCTTAAGTTTTTTTTTTTTTACTGATCATTCACCACACCATAGATCATTCATAGATCGGTTGCAGTGAATCCTTTCTCTACCAATAATCAGGGTCGCAAAAAATAATAAACTATGAAACCAGGCCAGTCGTGTGTTGGTTGTGCAAAACAATGGAATCCCCCTGAGAGCGGGAACCCCACAGATTTATAGAAATTTTTATTTCCTCTCCAGATGTCCAAATTTTCCAATTTCCAAAAGTCCTATTTTCCTGGTGAAAATTTCCTTTTTTTCCTCCTTAAGGAAAATTACACAAACTGATTGCGGTAAACACACGGGTCGTAAGACGGGATGTTGGAGTTTTTTAGCCAACGTGCGTAAAAAGTTCAGCTTAAAGCTGATATCTCATTCCAGAGGGAAAAAGCTCACACACAAGCACAATTTTCTCTCAAAATTCCCATCCCATTCCCCATCCATCAATTCCCATCTGTAATGAGATATCAGCTTTAAGCTGAATTGTTTACGCACTTTGACTAAAATACTGCAACATCCCATCTTACGACCCGTGCGTTTACCGCAATCAGTTTGTGTAAAACCGCCTTGCCAGGCATATGCTGTTTAGATAATAGCTCACTAGATGGTGTTAGTTTACTTGCTGCCAGCGTCCGCTCGCCCAAGTCTCGGGCTGGTTTTCATGCCCTCTCTAGCTTGGTAGCAGAAAATTCATAAGGCTGCACTGCACTGAGGATTGGCCCAACAAGGCTGAAAGGCGTTTGCAGTTGCCTTCCTGAATGGACGTAACTAGTGTTGCTCCAAACAGCGTATGGGTGGATTTCAGCTAATGGGAGAAAATGGTTCTGAAAAAAAGTTAAAAAGTGATTTGGCCATATCAAGCTATACAGGGTGTTCGAAAAGTCCCCTCCCCCCCCCTCTAACTTTTGACCTAATTGAGGTAGAGATTTGAAACTTGGAGGGTGTTCCTAGATCAAAGGAAGCCACTTTTTGACCCCCCTCCCCAAGATTTTGGGGGGGTTACGGACCCTAACTTTTAATTTTCAAATGGGAAGACCCCCTTTGTGATACCTCGTTCGAAAGAGCATGAAAAAAGAAAATTTTTCGCGCAAACCCGAAGTCATTATCTCAAACCGTTTCAAAATGGCGGCCGGTCAAAGTTCCAAATGGCCGAAAATTGGCACCTGTGCTATTTGCGCATGGATTTGCTTGAAACTCGGTATCTGAAAGTATTTTGGCACGAGAAAAACAAATTTGACGTTAGATTTTCAAAAAAACCCTAATTTTTCAAAATGGCCGCCGATTTAGGCTCAAAGTGGCCGAAAATTTGACAAACTCGTTTTTTTTGCCAATGGATTCACCTGAAATTCGGTATCTGGGGGTATTTTGACCCGAGAATAACGAATTCGACGTTAGATTTTTAAACAAACCCTAATTTTTCAAAATGGCCGCCGATTAAAGTTCAAAATGGTCAACAATTGGCAACCTCGACTTTTTGCCGATAGATTCGCCTGGAACTCGGTGTTTGAGGATATCTGGGTGGGAGACAAACGAATTCGACGTTATTTCACCGAGTTTCAGGCGAATCTATCGGCAAAAAGTCGAGGTTGCCAATTGTTGACCATTTCGAACTTTAATCGGCGGCCATTTTGAAAAATTAGGGTTTTTTTGAAAATCTAACGTCAAATTCGTTTTTCTCGTGCCAAAATACTCTCAGATACCGAGTTTCAAGCAAATCCATGCGCAAATAGCACAGGTGCCAATTTTCGGCCATTTGGAACTTTGACCGGCCGCCATTTTGAAACAGTTTGAGATAATGACTTCGGGTTTGCGCGAAAAATATTCTTTTTTTATGCTCTTTCGAACGAGGTATCACAAAGGGGGTCTTCCCATTTGAAAATTAAAAGTTAGGGTCCGTAACCCCCCCCCCCCCCAAA